CCCCCCCCCCGTTATTCCCAGCCAGCTTCATTCATCAGGAACAGGAGGAGGCTCCTAAGAACGTTGGACTACAACTCCCATCCTCCCCCTCCCCGCCCATTTCGGCTGAGGACGAGCAGCACTGGGCCGTCATGCCTCCTCCCTAACTTCTCTTGCAGGGGATGAAGACGAAGATTTCCGACGAAGGAGATGCCCCCCCTGCCAAGAAGGCCCCCATCTTCTATGGGAGCCTGGAGGAGAAGGAGCGCGAGCGCATCCTGAAGGGGGAATCTGGGATGATGGGCAAGGACGCCGTCAAAGCAGCCATCGAGGCTGGCAACATCAACATCTCCTCCGGTGAGGAGGTGCCTCGTGGACGGGAAGGCTGCAGGGTTGTTGTTTTTCCCCCCTTCCTTCGGATCTGTCTTTATGACAGTTCGATAGATGCTTAAGTCTGACGTTGCATCTTGTACTTTTGTGTTTTGTCTGCAAGCCAAACTAGGAACTCACATAGCATTTCTCTGAAGTGGGGGGGGAAAGGGGTATGAACTGTAGCCCTATTTCGCTCCGGAGCCATAGAAAGAGGAGGCATAGCTTTTATCGCAAGCATCGGTTGAAGGGTTCTCTGCTCCCTGATTCTTTGCAGCGAAGCGAGCTGATCCCAGCCCCTTATTTTGTGATAGTAAAATTGGGGTAAAATATATTCTGGGCTCCAGGTGGGATTGCAACGGCTGTCACTGCTGCCTAGACTTATGTAGAGTGGGCGGCCTGTGAATGTTTTAACCTCATAAAGTAACGTACTAGATTTCTCCTATGGCTAGGTGAGGTTTTTGACCTGGAAGACCACATCAGTGAACGACAGGCAGAAGTACTAGCCGAATTTGAGCGCCGGAAACGAGCCAGGCAAATCAACGTTTCCACGGATGACTCTGAAGTCAAGGCCTGCTTACGAGCACTCGGAGAACCTATCACGCTTTTTGGAGAGGGCCCTGCAGAAAGGAGGGAGAGGTAAGATTAGATATTTAAATTTGACTGGTTCTCCTTGCCTTTCCCAGACTAAAAGCGTTTTCACGCTGACTTTTCCTTCTTGGTAGGCTACGTAATATCCTCTCGGTAGTTGGCCCTGATGCCTTGAAGAAGACCAAGAAAGATGATGAAAAATCTAAGAAGTCAAAAGAAGAGGTAAATGTGTTACACTGCTGGTGTCGTTCATGTTTAAGGGAAGCATTTGAATCTCTTCCAGTGCTCTTTGTCTCCTCTTGCGCTGGGCTTCCATTATGTCAAACGCATAAATAAAAGAACAAACACTTTGAAACAAAGGAGACCAAGAATTTTGATTTGTGCATAAATCAATAGCAGCTAGAGGAGTTAGAGGCTCGGTACCCCAAATAGAACTCAGCTGTGGAAAGAAATGTCTCATAACTCTCCAGTGGTGGTGGAAGTACATAAAAATCCTCTCTGGAAAATACATTATGCATCTCATCACTCCTGAAAACAGTGATTGGTTATGCATCTTCACTTCTTTTTCTGGTTTGTCTCTCTCAGTATCAGCAGACTTGGTATCACGAAGGGCCAAGTACCCTGAAGACAGCCAGACTCTGGATTGCAAACTACTCCCTTCCTCGGTAAGGTTATTAGTGAAATTTAATAAGCCAAGATGAAAATGATAGGCCAGTGATAATTCAGTTAAAAAATAGAAATAAGAGTAATGAAAATGAGCTGAGTTTAAGGAAAAAGAAAAAGATCCATGCATATAAACATACCACTAGACTGGTCCTTTAACACAGCATTTCTCAACCTCGACAAATTTAAGATGTATGGATTTCTTTAATGCTGGCTGGGGAATTCTGGGAGTTGAAGTCCACACATTTTAAAGTTGCTGAGGTTTCGAAACGCTGCTTTAATGCATTACTACATTTACTTTACATTACTACATTTAGACCATATGGTAATATGCTGTTTCATTTTCTCATTTCTACCATGCAAAGATATTAACTGCCTGGAGTCGCTCTTTAGTGAGATGGACAGTGACCAAATTTGAAATATAAATAAATAAATTTCAAAAAACAACCAAGAACACATCTCTTGAATCTACTCTTCAACATCTAGAATGTTATTTTCTTTTCCACCCACCTAGGATTATTCTTTAAAGCCCAAAGCCCAGGCTTGAAAGAGCCAGAGCTCTTCATAAAATGTCCAATTCCATGTTTTTGGATTATAGCACCACATTTACATCTCTTATAGCAATATTTTCCCCCAAAGTGGTATTACTGTGCGTAATGGCTTGAAACCAAAAAGCAGCAGTAAAGGAACATGAGTCAAATTTCTTGCAGAGCCAACAAAAAACCTCTGATATCAGTCCTTTTTTAAAAAACATTATTTGAGGATTCCAGTAAACATGAAACGAGGCAAGGCAAAAATATGTTTTAAAGATCTTTTAAAAAAAATCTGGATATGTCTTGTGGCCTGTAACAAGAATCCTAGAAAATGAGGGCTTCCAACTTTACCCAAAGAGATAAATTGAGCAAGTTGGAAGAATTAACTAGCAGGCTTAACGTGAGCAGGAATTGTGGGAAAGACGTAACTTAACGCATCTCTTTCTGTTCTTGCCTAGGGCAGTGAAGCGTTTAGACGAAGCCCGGTTATACAAGGAGGTCCCCGAGGCCACACGGACTTCCCAGAAACAAGAGCTTCACAAATCTTTGAGGGTGGGTAGGATTCTCTCTGCCACGCTTCAGGCCAGAGATCTGCAGCTTGAAATGAGTCCTCTAGAAAGATGGAAGCTTTATGTGACTAGATCTGCTTTGCATGCTATATATTTCGTGTTTAGTCGATGGCCTTTTTGGCTGATAAAAAAAAAACAAGCCAGCCAAGCTGAGCAAAACCTTTTCCAGAGATTAGAAGAGCAGCTGCGAGTTAGAGTACGCTGTGCTTAGAGTAGTTGAGGCCATTTTTGGAACTCTGTAAGTGGGTTCACACATCCTACTAAACCATGGTTTCTTTGGACCGTTGCATGTTGAGCAGACCCTAATAGCTGGGTTTGCACAACTTGCTAAGCCCCCTAACACACCATTTGTGAGCTCAGTGATGGATCCAGTCTGTATAAAAGTAGAAACTTTTGCACTCCCAAGTCCTTCGGTGAATTGTTTTGAGGATGTGATGGGGAGCGTTCAAGAATGAATGCTTTCTTTTCTCTACTCTTGGTTCTCTTCCCTTTCCCTCCCTCCCCCTCTTCTTTTAAATCCCTTTGAAACAATTGGCAGCTTATTTCTTTTGCTGTGGTTTCGCTTCCAGTCTCTGAATAACTTCTGCAGCCAAATTGGGGATGACCGTCCCATCTCTTACTGCCATTTCAGTTCCAACTCCAAGCTCCTGGCCACAGCCTGCTGGTAAGAAGGATTTGTTGTCTTGTTGTTTTTTATAATTTTTTTATTGCTTTTTAATTAATAACAAAAAGGGGGTGGGAAACCTTACAGCCTCCTTTCTTTCTGCCCACAGGAGTGGCCTCTGCAAGTTGTGGTCA